TGTTTAGCATCTTAGCTGTAGAGGGCAGTGTCACTGGCCCTCATATGTGGGATCCGAACCGGGGCCCTCTGGTGTCCCAAGCCAGTTCTTAACCATTGTGCCACTCGGCCGGCCCACAACCTGATGAGTTTTGATGGCCATGTATACCCATAAAACCACCAAAGAAACGACGTTTTGGGGCAGATGCCAATCTGCTTATGTTGCTGTAGTTTTGCCTTTCTGAAACGTCATGTGAACATGGTCATACAGAATGTAGCCTTTTATGCCTGACTTCTCTCGCTCAGCATGGCGATTCTGAGATTTACCCCTAGTGCTGTGTGGATGAGTGGCTTGTTTTTATTGCCAGTAGTAGCCCATTGAATACCTATTATTACATTTCGTGTGTCCATTCTCCTGGTTTCCAATTTGGCGCCAATATGAATAAAGCTTCTGTGTACGAATGTTTTTGTAGACACGTGCTTCATTTCTCTTGGTAAGTACCTTCTCTTAGGAGTGGATGAATCATTGGTAAATATATGTTTAACTTACAAGACTCTGCCAGGTTTCCTAAGTGGTATTTTTTTTTAAATTGGGGAATTGGGGAAGGGGAACAGTGTTGGGGAATTGGGGAAGGGGAACAGTGTTGGGGAATTGGGGAAGGGGACCAGCCAAGTTGTTGTTCGATCTTCATTGTGGAGGGCGCCAGTTGCCATCTGGCTGCCTGTCGCAGCTCGTGGCCTTTAAGCTCAAGGTGCTGTGTTCAGTCTTAGTTGCAGGTGGGCATAGCTACCATCCCATGTGGGAGTCGAACCAGCAGCCTTTATGTTAAGAGCGCACACTCTATCCACTGAGCTATCCGGGCGCAGGTCAGCTCAAGGTGCCAAGTTCAGTCTTAGTTGCAGGTGGGCGTTGCCCACCATCGAACAAGCAGTCTTGTTGTTAGGAGCACGTGCTCTAACCACCTGAGCCATCCTGCCACCTGTTGGCAGCTCAGTGGCTGCTCAGCTCGGGCGCAGCTCACTGGCTTATGTGGGAATCGAACAGCAGCCCTGTTGCTCAGAACTCATGCTCTTAACCAACTGAGCCAATTGGCCAGCCCCTACGTGGTATTTTTTAAATACCAATTTTTTCTTCTTAAAAAGACAACTTGTTCTTTTAATATGAAATTTTGATTACTAGGGAGATCAGTATTTTCCCACATTTTGGCTCACCAGTTATGTTCCCTTTTTGTCTGTTACCTGTTTTGGTATTTTTACCCATTTATCTAGTGTGGTCTTAGGCGTTTTTTCCTTAACTTGCTGTGATGTGAACCCTGTGTTACAGACATCATGCACTTGCTGTGATTTCCCTGGTCTTCGTGTTCCTTTTCGTGTCAGCTAGGCTTCTCTTGGGCATGAGGGACTCTGAATGTTTAGCAGAGCAGCTCTTGACCTTTGTGATGTCTCTTCTTGCTTTTAAGCTTTGAGGGTCCTTGGTGTGGAGAGGGTCTCTGTCGTCTGCTCCATCAGTGTCTCTCGTGACACCACGGCCCCTGGCAGGTCTCTGTCTTAAATGCCTGTCCCCCCTCGTGTAGGGTCTTTGCTGTGTGTTAGAACGCTCGTGTGGGAGTGGGTGGGCCACAGACCACCGTGCAGCCCAGCAGAGGGCAGAGGGCAGAGGTCGGGAGCTGGTGTGGAGCCTTGGTTCTTTGATTAGTGGTGTGGCTGGGTTTTCTGCATGTGACTCAGTGTTGCAGAGCCTGATGGTTGCTGACCCCAGGAGGAGGGGGCTGGGGCGTGAGCCAGGGGACCTGGCCAGCTCTTGTCAGGCCGCTGAACGGCCTGTGAGGATGGGGGAGGGTCCCGGCAGCTGCTGGCCCTTGGTTTCCTGTCCTAAATGTAGGGATTTAGGTTGGGTCCTTTCTGCACCGCAGTCCAAGCACGTGGTCACAGAGGTAAAGTGTTTTCTGGGGGAGAGAGCAAGAAACCAGCAGCCATGGAATATTCTTTGTAAGAAATAGCTCTGGAGTGTATCTTGAAATTCCCTTGGATCTCTCTAGAAAGGGAGGAAACCAGCCCTGTTGACCCCCCTGTGCCAGACAAGGGCTCTTCACGCCCATGGTCTCCATCAGTCCACATTCACCAGGAACCCGGGGATCAGCGAGGCCAGGCTGCGTGCCTGCTGTCACGGAGCAGGTGGCAGAGCTGAAGTGGAAAGCCAGGTCTTTGCTCCCAGAGCCTGGGGGCTTTTTCTCTTTGTGTGGGAAACATTATGATAAAGACTTATTTATCGTAAAGAAATATGTTTTGTCGTAAAAAGCAAAGCCCCACGAATATCAAGCAACGATAAATCTGGCGCGCTGAAAGGCCCGGCAGCACAGGGCTGTCTTCCCTGCTGTTTGCCTGCAGCTGAGACTGGTTGGCAAAGGCACAGCTGTTCCTTTAAGTCGGATTCTCCGTGAGGATTGCCGCAGCCTGGGGTGGAGGTGGGGGTGTTGGCTGCGGGTAGTGCCGGCCTGGTGGATCTCCCCTCCAAGCCCTTCCCGCTCCAGCCCAGACGCCCCGTGACGTTCCCTCTCATTAGGTCTTTTCACCAAAGCTGCTGATTCATCCTCAGGTTGGAGGTGGCTGGGCTGTGGGCCTGGGAGCCGGGGCTGTCAGGCTTTCCCTGGGTCAGGGAGCCGGGGTTCTCAGGCTTTCCCTGGGTGGGGAGCCGGGGCTGTCAGGCTGCCGCTGGGTGGGGAGCTGGGCCTCCTGGGAGGCGTCCTTGATCCTCTCTGGCTGCCCTGTGGTGGGAGTGGTGAGGAAGAAGGGGGCTGGGCAGCACAGAGCCCCGGCGTATTTCTGACCAGAAGTGCAGGCTGGAGATGGGGTAGGTGTGGAGGGGGACAGGGCTTGGTCAAGGTCACGTGGTGAGGGCCAGGCTGCCCCGTCCTTTCTCACCCCTCTCTGGCCTCCCTCTGCAGGGTGCTTCAAGGATGACCGCATCGTCTTCTGGACATGGATGTTTTCCACCTACTTCATGGAGAAATGGGCGCCACGGCAGGATGACATGCTTTTCTACGTGCGCCGGAAGCTGGCGTTCGCTGGCAGTGAGAGCGGCGCTGATGGGAGGAAGGTGAGTGACCCCTCTGACCCCGCCAAGCATCCGTATGGGGCCTGCTCTTGGCGGGCGAGGTGGCCTTCCTTGCAGTCCTCATGCGTGTCAGTAAGGGGGGGGGGATTGCGGTTTATTGAGCACCTACTAAGTGCCAGAAACCGTGTGGAGATGGTCCCACATGCTAGCTAATGGCGGGGTGTGCTGGGCCTGTGTGTACATTATTATTAACCTTCACCATGACCCTGAAAGGCAATGATTGGTGTCACTATTTCACCTGAAAGGAAACTGAAGGCTAGATGATTGAGCTGGCATCTCATAATTAGTAAATAAGTGTAAGGGCAAAGCTTTGACCCCAGAGTCCAGGTTCCTCCCTTGGGCAGGGTGACCTGGCTTGGTGATGAAGGTGATGCTGACCAGTCACTGATCCCAGACCGTGGACCAGACAGAGCGCTGAGCTCTCTACTTCTTGATCTCACTGCGTCCTCCCCACAACTTGACAGGGCAGATCTTCTTATCCCCTTTTCACAGACGAGGAAACTGAGCCCTCAGGGGTGGAGTGGCTGCTCTAAGGTGCCACCCACTAAGTTTAAGTGCGCAGAAGAGCTCATGACACAAACTTTGCGTGTTTCCTCTCTGTGTTTCAGGAGCTTTAGTAGTTTGTAAAATGTTTAAGCAACCTGTGTGCCAAACGTGGGAATGCATGCTTTTCCTTTCAACACAAATGCTGGGAGGCCGCGGAGGCGGCTCTGGAACTTGCGGCCGGCCTGGCTCTGAGTCCGGTGCCCGGATCCTGGGCCGTGGCTTCTTGGCTGTGGGTATACGTCAAGTGCCTGGGCTTCCCCTGCCATGTGCCGGTTCCCTGAGCCTGACGCACGCAGAACAGGCTTTCTGTAGACAGATGGGCCTGGTGTCTGCTGCAAAGGAGACCCGGTGACTTGCTTTCATGCAGGCCTCCTGCTTGCCGGTGGCCATACAGCTGGCCTGGCTGGGCTCTGTGACATGAGGGAGACCCAGGGGTGTCCCTAGGTCCCTGGTGTTCATCTGGTATCTGCAGCAGCCGGCTGTGTGACTGTGTTGTCACTGGGGCCAGTGGGCACTGGGACCCAGAAGTGTATCACCGTGAGCCAACACAGTGCAGTAAATATAGTGAGAAGAGGAGTGGGAGTGGTCAGCAGGCCACGTGGGTGAGAAGAGTCTGAAAGGAAGTGGGGGATGGCCCGGGGGAGGGGGCTGGAAGCGTATGAAGTTCCCACGCATTCAGGTGGTCGGTCACGGTTCTGCGTGGCTGTGGGGTAGAAAGGGAGTGAGGTGGGTGGGGCCCCATCAGGGTGGATGCTAAAGTCACACCCAGGAGTTTGGGTGTTGTCCCCAGAGCCCTGGGAAACCACTGGACCTGGTAAACTGAGGAAGGGGACGTGGTCAGAGTTCCGTTTTAACAAGCTCCCGGCTGGTGGAGGAAGGGCTGGAGCAGATTAGAGCAGAAGCAAGGAGGCTGCTCAGGGGGCCGCTGGTGGTGGCCTGGACCAGGGAGCACCCAGGAAGTGGGCTTAGCCAGCAGGGCTCTGGGCCCCTGAGCCGGGGCAGAGGGAGGACTCGGCCTGACAGCCAGGTCCCCGAGTTGGGCCCAGGGTGATCATGGTGCCCATTGTAGGAGGGTAGTTGAGTTGGTTGGAGGTGCCTGTGTGACGTCCATATGGCGATGTCTTCCAGGCAGTGGCTTGCCTGTCAGAAGGTCAGCAGAGGGATCAGCAGAGGTCAGGGGCAGAGGTAGAGATTCGGAACCATTAGCACCAAGATGGTCCCGGGGTCCCCAGAAGCGCATGGGAAGAGGAGGAATGACAGTAGAAGGGGCCTAGGACACAGCCCTGAGCTGGCCTGACACTGGCGGGAGCAGCAGGAGACCAAGAGCAGCTGGCTGCAGAGGCGGGAGGCCCACACCTCTGGCCTGTTGGCATCTGCTAGAGTTTAAATTGTAGACAAGTTTTTTTGCAATATCTTGGTCTTTTCCCAAAGGCAGTCTGTATGAGCAAAGGCTCCAATAATGACGGGTCGTGTCTGAGACATGCTCAGCTGTCCCTGGGACTCCGGGCCAGGAGAGGCCCCAGCTCTGGAAAGGAAGGGTTTTCTTAGCCCAGCGTGGCCTAGAATTCTCCAGGAGGGCAGGCGGGACACAGGAGAGGTCAGATCTGCGTCTTCCCTGAGAGGCCAGGTGGGAAGGTGAAAGGAGCGGGCAGCTACAGCTCGTACCTGGGCCGAGAGAGGCTCCCTGGGTCCAGGACTGAGGAATTAGGACAGGAGGGGGCCATGTGTAAACCCTCCTGAGGATTGGGGGGGGGTGTTGAGGTCAGTGAGGGGAGCATGTGGCAGTCCAGCTATTCATGTGCTAGAATGTTCTGCTGAATACCCAGTGAGCTCTGCGCAGATGCCCCTCCCCCAGCACTGGGAACACAGAGGTGACTCCGACCTGGCCGTCCTCGGGGAGCCCCCAGGCTGGTAGGTCAGACGGAAGCATAGCCAGTGACACAGCTCAGCTGGTGCTATAATGGTGGGAAGAATGGGGGGCAGGTGGGGGCCCACAAAGAGGAAGTGGTGACACCTGGTTGGAGTATGTAGGACAGAGAGGGGCCAGCAGTGGTGTGAGGACATTCTGTGTGGAGGGACTGGCACGTGTGGAGCATGAGGGGGTGCCAGGCACATGTGTGACAGGGCCTGCCAGGGTGGGCCGTGATTCCAGGAGACCCCATGGGCCTAGGGGGTACAGGGCAGGCCCAGAGGGGAAGTGGGGAAACTGGACGGCAGCTTCCTGCCCCCATGTTCAAAAGAACAGAAAGAAAGGAAAGCCCTTGGCAGGCGCAGTGTGGGCCCCTCTGCGGCACCTGCGCACTGCGGGGCCTCTGCGGCAAGCCCAGGCTGCTTCCCGCCCCTTTCCCATCCTGCAGCCGGCCAAGCTGGTACCTAGTCGCCATAGCAACCTGCTTCCTGCGCTCGCTAGCTGGGGATAGGGGAGGGTGGATGGGTAGCCCGGCCTCCTGTTGGTGGGGTGGGGAGCAGCAGTGTGGGTGGGACAGGATGCGGCATCCCACCGTTCTGCTGCAGGGCCCGAGGGACAACCTGAGGCTCGGTTCTTGATTCACTCTGGCGCGAATAGCCAGGGATTGAGGGACAAGGCTGAACACGCCTGTGTGAACACCTGCACAATGCAATGGTCAGGGACAAGAGTGCCAGACGCCACGGTGGGGCCAGCTCACCCCTGCCCTGTGCCTCGCAGCTGACTGAGGCTGAGCCCCAGGTGGAGGTGGAGGTGTACCGGCGGGACTCCAAGAAGCTGCCAGGCCTCGGAGACCCTGACATTGACTGGGAGGAGAGTGTCTGCCTGAACCTCATCCTGCAGAAGGTATGGGGGTGCAGTGGGGGCGGGGCCCCAGGAGGGGGCTGACGTAGGCCCCGAGGGACAGCAGAGCCCTCCACGCACCCTTCCCTGCGCTCTCTTCCAGCTGGACTACATGGTGACATGTGCCGTGTGCACGCGTGCCGATGGGGGGGACATCCACATCCATAAAAAGAAATCCCAGGTGAGCCAGCTCAGCCCCAAAATGGCAGCCCTCTGGCTGCAGTGTTTGTGTTGAGGAAACAAGTATCCCCCTCACTTCCCTGGCCCTGGGGCGAGGGTCTGGCTCCGGAAATGCATTCAGCTTCCGGGGTCCTGTGTCCTATGAACAGAGCACAGAACCAGGCTGTCCCCAAGCAGCTCATTCTAGAGCCCTTCCGTCTGGCTTTGGCCTGACTGAGCAGCGTGGCCACGGCGACCTGCTCCTTGGACAACACATTCTACTCAGCAGAGTGGCTCTGGGCCTGGGTGCAGGGTGGGGCCTCACTCTGTCCTTAAATCTCCTTTCTTTCAGCAAGTGTTTGCGTCCCCCAGTAAACACCCGATGGACAGCAAAGGGGAGGAGTCCAAGATCAGCTATCCTAACATCTTCTTCATGATTGACAGCTTCGAGGAGGTGAGCTCGTCCCCTTCAGGCCCCCTCCCCAGGGAATGCCAGAAGCTCCTCGCCCTCAGGCCTCACACCCTTGCAGAAAGGCGGGAGGTGGCTGGGAGCAGGGTTGGCCTGGACTCCCACCGCCGTGGCTCCCTCTCTTCCTGCTGTTGGACGTGGGGCAAGGGCGCTCCCCTGGCTCGGAGCCTCAGTTTCTTCATCTGTAAAATGAGCAGTGTGACCATCTGTCCTACTTACTTGTCAGGGTCGGGATCAAACGGGCGCGGGAATGGAGGATGCGTCGTAAACGCCTATAAAAGTGCTGTCTGGACAGGAGGAGTCATTGTTATCGCCAATAACCTCTAATAAGCGCCTCCACGATGTGCCAGCCAGGGTTCCTAGCATGCCAGAGGGGCGGGGCATCGCAAGTTACCCAGGCCACGCTTTTGTTTTAAGGTTGGGGAAACTGGGACCCCAGGCAGAGGTGACAGGGCCCGGGAAGCCCCGGGTGTTGGGAAGAACCCGGCTGTGTCCCACTCCCCTCCGTTGAGGCCCCAGCTGTGGGGCCTGCACTCATCCAGAGGGGGCCAGGGTCCAGAGGCCTCGTGAGGAAGGGAGCGTGGCCTCCAGGGTCTCCCGGATTTGATGGTTTCTCAAAGCACCTTAGGCTCGGGGCTAAGTAGCCCCTCCAGGCTCGCTTGTGGCAGAGCTGAGACTGAACCTGTGTGACTACCAAGCTTGGCCTGTACGCCAGTCCCTCGGAGCAGTGACTCGGGCAGGCGGTCACTCTTTCAGTGCCCCGGTCCTGCGCCTACACACAAGCCGTGAAGCCCAGGGCAGGGGTGGGGCGAGCGGGGCTGGGCGTCCACAGCCAGGGTGCAGGAGACCCTAGAACATGGGCTGGACGGTCCTTGCAAACTGCCTGACTCCTCAGCATGAGGAAGTGTGATGCGGGGCAGCTGTCCTAATGGCCAGCCGGCGGGTACGTCCTCTTCCGGTCCCGGTGTCTCTGTCATCAACGCCCCCCGTTGGACACCACCCCTGCCCCAGAGTTAGGCTGTTCCTGTGCTGGGCTTAGTGGAGGGTGGAGGAGTTGGGGGCCTTGAGCAAATGTCTCAGCATCTGGGGCTCAGTGTTGTCGCCTGGGAAATGGGCGTTTTCCGAGCAGCGCCCCCGGGCAGCCCTGGGCTTGTGGGGGTGGGATGGGTGCGGCCTGGGCTGTGGTTGGGTGGTGGGCGCTCACAGTCGACGTCACCATCTCCACCGTGTGCCCCACCCAGGTGTTCAGTGACATGACTGTGGGGGAAGGAGAGATGGTCTGTGTGGAGCTGGTGGCCAGTGACAAAACCAACACGTTCCAAGGCGTCATCTTCCAGGGCTCCATCCGCTACGAGGCGCTCAAGAAGGTGTATGACAACCGAGTGAGTACGGGGAGGGCCCCCCGCAGCCCCCTGTCGGTCCCTGCCCAGCGCTGTGCTGTAACCGCCTTCCTCAGAGCACCGCAGCGCTGGCTCCGCCGAGGTGGTTTAGGGGCTGCTTTATGGCGCGTCCTTCACGGCGCAGCTCAGCCCACTCAGCCCGCCCCTGTGAGAACACTCCCAGGGCCCTGGCTGACTGATCTGAAGAGAGGAATAGGTGGATGGCCGCATCCGGGGCTCGCCCCCCTCAGAACTGGGGCAGGAGGAATGGGAGGTGGTCTCGGGGCCCGCGGGGCTCCATTCCTGACCTGGCCCTGGGCCTGCTGTGGGCATAGGCCGTCCGGCAGTGAGGGGCGCGTCAGCCGGGGACCCCGAGCTTTTCAGCACTGCCCTGCTCGCCGGGCGAGGGGGCGGGCAGCCCTCAGGGACTGCTCTTCGAGGGGTGGTCGTCCTGGCTGCTCGTGTTCCCAGGGAGCGCTTATCCCCACCAGCCTGGCTCAGGCGGCTCCCACCTGCCCGCAGGTGAGCGTGGCCGCCCGCATGGCACAGAAGATGTCATTCGGTTTCTACAAGTTCAACAACATGGAGTTTGTGCGCATGAAGGGGCCACAGGGCAAGGGCCACGCAGAGATGGCGGTCAGCCGCGTGCCCACTGGCGACACGTCCCCCTGCGGGACTGAGGAGGACTCCAACCCGGCTTCACCCATGCACGAGCGGGTAAGGGCTGTGCAGCTCGGGGAGGGGCCCCCTGTCCCCCGCACCTGCTGCCCACCGCCTCCCTGATCCTTACAGCCCCCAGCGAGGTAGGTGTCGTCATCCCATCTCTGGTGGGGAGGCCGACGTTCAGAGAGGGCAGGTCACTTGCCCAGGGTCACACAGCAGGTTAGTTCTCGGGCCAGAACTCTCTCTGCTTCCCTGAGCTGCCACTGCAGCCAGGCTGAGTTGACTGCGTCCTGGTGCCTGCCTCAGGGACCTGCTAGGCGATCGTGGCCTGTGACAGGCCTCCCCTGGTGAGTGATGTGGGTCGATGATGATCTGGCCTCCCCTCCTGCCCCGTTAGGTCAGCCAGAGCGCACAGAAGCCCCGAGGCACCCGGCTCGCTCTTTGCCCGGCCCACTTGGTTACCAGGTGGGAGCCAGCGTTCCTGGGAGCCCAGGGGCGCTGGACTGCCTGCACTGCCCCAGGTCACATGTCTCCTGTGACAGCGCTGAGCCTTGGAGCCCTGCTCTTTCTCGGCTACCATCCTTCCCTAGGGGTGGGAACCAAGGTCAGAGGTCAGCGGCAGCTTTATTCCCAGAGCCCCCAGGGGGGCCCAGGCAGGAGAAAGTCTCCAGCCCACTGGCTGCCTTGCCCCGCTTGGTCTACTAGAGGGGGCTGCTCAGAGCCGGGGGTCCTGGAGGAGGACAGGTAAGCTAGCGCACCGGGGCGGGGAGGCAGCCTGCTCAGCGCATGTGCAGGAGAGGCGTTTAGGACGAGACATCGTGGGCTGGGACCAGGCACCGCTGCTCATGTGACCTGGGGCGAGCCTCTTTTCCTCTCTGAGCCTCAGTTTGCTCATCCAGAAATGGGGCGAAAACACCTGCTCCCTTCGGTGTTGGGAGGCTCAAAGGAGCCGGTGCGCCTCAGGCACCGGCATGGGGCTTGGTCCTTAGGCATGTCCCCAAGGAGCAGCGCTGTAGTGACTGCTGTCACTGGGGAATAGTCACTGGGAAATGACTCTTACGAATGTAAACTGTGCCTTCCTGCTGTCGGGAGTGGGGTGAGGGAGAGCGTATTTACCATTCCTCTAATTCTGTAAAATGATGTCAGCCATGCACATCGCCACGTAGCCGAGGGCAGTTTTCTTTCTCTTCTTTATACCTTTTTTTGTTGTTGTGTATCTTCTGCAATGAATATGTGTTCTAAGCAGAACAAAACCAAGAAATGCTGTTTTTTGCCAAGATGGGTGAGAATCCCAGGCAGGGGCCTCTTTTATCATTGGAATAGAGGTGGTTTATATTTCTGAGCCGTGTCTGAGATAAGGGGCCTGATTCTTCGCTCTGGCCCTAAATTGCCCACTGAGCTTTGACAGACTGTGTATGAGAAATCCTCCTGAAGATACAGGCTGGGCTGTGGGCTGGACAAGCCTGGGTGCCATTCCAGCCAGGTGTTTGCTGAATGATCACAGAGGCGGTACTAGACCTATGTGAGCCTTGATTCTCCCATCCATCAGATGGGAGTGACAATCTCACCTGCCCAGGTGGCCGTAGGGGTGAAGGAGCCGGTGCCTGTGAAAGCCCCGGGGCCATAGTAGTAGGGGGCCCTGGAGTCAAGGGGAGGGACTTGCCAGGGCCCTGCAGCTGTCAGTGGCAGGGCCCGACCTCCTGGGGACTGTTCAGGCCCCTGCCACCTCTGTGCTCACTGTTGCTTGTCCCCCTTTTCCAAGGGGTCATTTGTAATCAGTGCATGACAAATGCAGACTCTGTGTGTATTGTGGTTTCTGGTGTTTGTTTTTTATCTTTTAAAAACCTTCCCTGACTTGTGGGAGGACCATCTGGAGCCAGCGGCCGCCGGGACTTTGGTGGATGTCGGAGCCATGATGAGAGGCTGATGGGGCTCCCGAAGTCTCGGTCCCAGCTCGTCCTGTTCCTCAGATTCTTGTTTGCATGGGGAGGAGGGAGGAGATGGGCCAAGTTCCCTCTGCCTGGAACGCCCTTCCCCCCCTTCTTCACCTGGCGAACTCCTACTCGTCCTTCAAGACCCAGCTTGAGCGGCGTCTCCTCCAGGAAGCCTTCCCTGAGTTCCCAGGCTCAGTCTCTTTGCCTCTGTGCTCCCTGTATCCTGTGCTTCCCTTTTTCTGTCTCAGCAACCAACATGCCGCCTGTGGTTGTCACTTTCTGAGTGTGTCGCCCCCAGCAGACTGTGAGCTCCTTGAGGGCAGGGACCAGTGTTACGTGCCTGTCTGTCCTCAGTGCTGTGCCCACCTGGCCCTGAGTGGGTGTGGAAAACGTTTGGTGAACTGAACAGGGTGGGGAGAAGAGAGGAGAGGAGGTGATGGAAACAGACTGCTTAGCCACAGCATGTCTATGAAGGAAAGCTGGGGGGAGAGGCATGGGGAATAGGAGCCAAGAGATTAGGGTGAAGGGCACAGCCTCAGGTGGGAGACGTGGGTTGCAGCCTCAGTTTTGCCACCATCCTGCGGGGTGACCTTGGACAAGTCAAGGTTGCTGCCCGCGTTAGTTTCCTCATTTGTCCCAGGGGCTGGTACTGGCTCCCGTCCGGTGGATTGGTCGGGAAGGTTCCGTGGGTTCATGTGCTGTGGTAGGTGCCTGCGCAGAGTCAGCAGCCAGCATGACTTAAATGATCCCCTAACGAGTGTGAGGCCCTCAGGAGGGCAGAGCTGGCGGCCCGGCCGGTCCCTGAGCTGAAACCCTCTCCCAGTGCCCGCTTAGCCCCAGGACGGCCAGGCCCCAGCAGGGCAGGCGGGCGGGCGGGTGGGGTCAGTGAGCACAGCCCGAGTCCCCTCCAGCCAGGTGCTCCCTTTTGGAGCTCTGTGTCAGGTCCAGTTTGAGGGCAGGTGAGCGGGCTCTGGGACGCCCAGCGGTAGGCGGGCTGCTCTGGTGACTACGGCTCTTTGTTCCCAGGTGACCTCCTTCAGCACCCCCCCAACCCCAGAGCGGAACAACCGGCCCACCTTCTTCTCCCCGTCCCTCAAGAGGAAGGTACCCCGGAACCGGATCGCCGAGATGAAGAAGTCGCATTCAGCCAACGACAGCGAGGAGTTCTTCCGGGAGGATGATGGCGGAGGTGACCCTGGCCCCTCTGTGTCTGGAGGGCCCCCCTTCGGCCCTCCAGTCTCCTCTTGGGCCATTCATTCATTCACTCACACTTAGTGCCAGGTGTCCGTCCAGGGTTGGGGATGGAGCTGTGAATAGACAGACCCCTGCCTCGAGGCACCTCCATTCCCGTGGTCTCTGCGTTCACCGTGCACAGTTCCAGGGGCTCATGGACTTCCGGATGTCGGTGGTCTGACCCCCGCACAGTGGGCATGAGAAATACTTGCTGAGGGGGAGATGGGCTCCGGCTCATTTGTGCGTTTTGTGACTTCAGGCTCTGTCGGTTTTACTCCTCAGTGCTCTTTGGCCAGCTTGCCCTCGCTCTAGAACTTTCAGTGGGGTGTCCCTCAGGGTCCTCCGAGGGCTCTCCTGCTGTCGGCTTCCCCTAGCCCAGGCCTGACTGTGGGCGGAGGCCCCAGTCTCACCCACGCACAGTCTGTGGTCTCTCCCAGCACACGCGCCTTCTCGCTGCTCTCTGCGGCATCGCCCCACCATTAGTGAGCTGTGCGCCCGAGGCGGGGTCATGCTTATCTTAGGAGCACCGGGAAGCCAGTGGAGGGTTTAAGCAAGGGACTGACAAAATCAGATTTGAATATTCAAAATCCCACTCAGCGGTCCATGTAGAGAATGGGGGCAGGGCTGGCTGACAGACAAGGCGGGCGGTTCTGGTCTGTTCCGTGCCTGTGAGGCCCGAGGGCCTCATGCGCCATCGTCCTTAGGACCAAGCTGGGCACCTGGCACAGCAGGAACTCCATGCATGTTTGCTGGACAAATGGTGGGGGAAAGGATTCGCTGAGAGCATGGATGGCCCCGGATGGGAAGCTGGGGCTGCGGCGTTGAATGGCCCTGCCCGCCAGGACCCAGAATGCAGAGGGTCTGCTGAGCCCTGGCCTTGACCGGCTCTTGTGTGAGCTCGGGCAAGTGCCTTCCCCATCTCGGCTCGTCTGCAGATCCATAGGAAAGTGCTAGTCGCCACCCTGCCCGTCTGCTGGGTGACCCATGAGACTGGGTGATGATGAGTCACCCCAGCCTTGCCTCATGTCCACGTGGTCTCAGAGAAGTACCACAGTGGGTGACATGCCAGACCCCAAGGAGGAGACTCTAGGGCAGACAAGGGGGTCAGGGAGAGCTCAGGTGGACGAGGCCCTGAGGGATGAGGTGGGGTGAGAGGCAGGAAGTGGGCACGGGGTGTCACAGGCCCAGGTGATAAAGCGCCCAGCAGAGGGTGGAGCTGGGCCAGGAGGGAGTCGCCTGGAGTGGGAGGTGTTCTCCCAGAGGCCCCGTAGCCTGGGCCCTGACCTGGCCGTCGTCTCCCCTCTAGCCGATCTGCACAATGCCACCAACCTGCGGTCTCGGTCCCTGTCTGGCACGGGGCGGTCCCTGGTCGGGTCCTGGCTGAAGCTGAACCGAGCAGATGGAAATTTCCTTCTCTATGCACATTTAACCTACGTCACTTTGCCGCTGCATCGGATCTTAACAGGTACTGTCGGTTGGTGTGGGAACTAGTACCACTTCTCTGTGGCCGCCCTGACTCCTGGGCCTGGGTTCCCGAGGCCAGTTCGTGGGAGTGTCCAGCCCGTCTGAGCATTTCATGGCAGGAGCCCGTCCGTGGCTTCCCTGACGGGTTCTTGGTCTCCCCATTCACACGTCACGTGGGGCCTCTGGGAAAACAACAGCCCTCAGTGTCCCTTTGTACTCCGGCAGCCCTTTTGTCGCCTCCTGAGTGTCTGCAGACACTTGCGGGTGAGGTGAAGCTCTGGGGCCTGTCACTGAGCCCGCCTGCCAGGCAGTGGCGCCTGGGTCAGGCCAGGCTGTGCGTCTGCCTCAGGCCCATTCCCTGGCGGTAAGGTGGGGAGGATGAGCTGCGGCAGTTCCGAGGGCGGGAAGAGGGGGTGCCTGTGATTAGCTGGGCGGGCTTCCTTCGTAAATGGAGCCGCTGTCACCGGAAATCCCTTGTCCATTCCCACCTTCCACCCTAGACATCCTGGAAGTACGGCAGAAGCCCATCCTGATGACCTAGCCGTGTGCGGAGCCCGCACGGAGCCCCCAGCCCTGCCCGGCCCTGGGAGTGCTGCCAAGTGCCTACCTGTCCACCGCCACCGGGGTCTTCTGTGACAACCCAGCGCCGGAGCCAAAGCCAGGCGGGGCCACTCGACCCCCGGGGCCAGGGCCGACTCCAGGAACACCAGCCCAAACTGAAGTGCCTCTTCCTCCTCTCCCGCTGGCTCTGCTCCTGCCCTGTGCCCACCCCCCCGTCAGCCCCAGCCCGCCTCCGGAGAGCCTGCTGCACCGGAGAGGACCAGAGGCACCAAGAGGCCAGAAGAGCAGAGCCGCAAGCCGGCGTCGAGCGTCCAGACCGAGCGCCCCAACGTGCACGTCGCGACAGAGCGGGCGGAGACCGCCCCGCGGGGCGCTCAGCGGGCCTTGCTGGCCGCACTTCCTAAGGAAAGTGGCGTAAGATTCTGTAGTGCTGTGTGGTGAGCTTCCACGCCGGGCTGTCCCGACGCGTGCGTTCTCCCTAGCTTACACTTGGTTCGAGTGGGTTACCATGGGCAGGTGGGGAACATAGCTGTCTGATGGTTTTGCCCTGGGCTGTGAACACCTCACCCCACACCCAGTTCCAGAAAGGCCTCGAGCTGAGCAGACAGGCCCTGATCCCCCCAGAATGGCCTTTGCTTCCAGCCAAAGAGTACCGCCCACACACACACCTCCCGCTGGAGACCCCGCTCTGTGCCTGGCTGGCGTGACCTGTGGACTGAGGGCAGGTGGGAGGGCTCGGGAGCCAGACAGGAGCAGAGGGGGGTCTCGGTCCTGGGGGCCAGGGCGGGGGCAGGCTGCTCGGTCTCCGGTTCCCTAGCGCTTCCTTCCTTCGCCTCAGTGCTGGTCGCATTTCTCAGACCAGATCACTGGGGAAAAGGGGGAGTGGCTTCCCCCACCGGTGTGGCCGGCGTGTGCGTGGCCGTCCAGCCCCGGGCCTGCCTGCGGCCTCGCTCCGGCCTGAAGGCTTGCCACCTGTGATGACGCGTGTTCCCAGAGCCACGACCCTTGTCAAGAGTGGAAACGTTTCTCCTTGCCCGCTGGGAATGAACTGTCTGCTGGGTCCCTGTGGCTATGTGGCTGTGTGTGAAGTCCCCAGGAATATTTGAGGGGTTCCTGCTGTGTGTTTAGAGAGCCTCTGGGGAGAGAAAAGGAATCCGAGGGGCCTGCTCTCCATCTGTTTTAATTCTATGCTCCAAGGGTTTGCGCTGGGCTCCGGAACGGGAGGGACTCCTTGGGGCTTTCCCTAGATTTTGTATGCTGTTATTAAAAGCGAGCTATTGCATTTCATTCTGCCTCAGTTTGCCCACCTGTAAAACGGGGCTGATACCACCTACCTCACTGAAGTCTCCAGGGTTCCAGTACACGACTGGGTCAGGGCGCCACTACTGTGCACCGCTCCCTTCAGGGGTCCTTACCTCCCCCTCCCCTTGCCCTTCTAACCATCTAGTCCAAGAAGATGTGTGGTGGGATGCGGGTAGAACATTCTCAGATTCTCTGACAGCGCCCAGCTCGTGCTCGGCGGCTCCAAAGCAGCGTCCTAGGGCAGCAAAGTGAGGCCTTGCTGCCCAGTGCAGGAGCCGAGCGAGCCTCAGGCAGCAGTGAGCGTGGCCCAGCCTCCCAAGATACCGCTGGAGTCTTCTCCAGGGGAGCCGAGCTTGGCCCCCGCGTTTGTGTCCAAGGTGGCTAACATACAGCTATTTGTTCAGGAACGCTTTCTTCCCTGGGCTGGAGACTCTGAACTCAGCTCTTGGAAAAAATACCATCTTGATGTGGCTTTCATGGAAGGATGAGGTGGTTCACCTGTAGAAAAGAGTGAGTGGTGAAGAGCTTGAGAAGGTTCCACTGGAGCCTGAAACCGGCCCGGCGCTGAGGCTCAGCCATGACTCCTGGGGGCCCTGGGCAAGTCAGGCTCCTATAAACCGCAAACCTACATGCTGTCTGCCTCGCAGGGTGTCCGAGGGCCAGTTGCAGTGATGTGAAAATGCTCTGCACGTGGGGTTTTTCAAGCTGACACCTCATTTTTGAAGTATGTGGACAGGTGCACACGGTGGTTTGGATGCTCTGTATCCAACACTTAGGTAGTACCCAGCACCAGCAAGCACCTGCTCAACATTTAGGTACCATCATCCCCGTCTTACAGATGAAACAGCCAGAGAGGTTAAGTGAACTGCCCAAGACCACACAGCAAGAAGTGAGGACAGGAGGCCCACCCAGGCATTCAGCCCCAATGGACACTGAGCCTTGACACTGCTGCTCGGCCTTTCTGTCCTTCGATCATCCAAAGGGCACTTCTGATACTGAATTTAAAATGTGCTCAGAGATGCTGGTAAAGAGGCAGTAAGCTGGTACTCTGAGGTTGGCTGGTTCTAAGTGACAAATGACATCAGTAACAAAGTAATAGAGTAACAAGTGACAGGACCAGAACTAGCGCCCCCACGTCCTGGTGGGTCCTGCTGTTGGTGCAGTTTTACTTTCTGTAAGGACACCTTTAATTTTGGGGGAATGGGAACATGCCTGTCTCTTGTATGAGCAAAGCGTGCATACATTTCTGAAATGGGAATTGGAGTTACAGTGTTCCTTTGAAGAAACCTAGGTGTCACTTTTTAAACTTTAACATTAATAAGAAAGTTGTTATTATTATTACTATTATTATTTTCCCCTTTTAAAAAAATGTCACGGTCCTGGAGTCTGGTAGATAACACAGCGCCTCCATTTACATCTTCCAGCCCCTGAAGGTTCAAGTAGCACTCGCCTACATTTGGTGTCCTGTGGGAAACATTCCCTCTTGCCTGTAAAAACAGCCAAGACTCCTTAGTTCAAAAGAAAATAATAAAACATAAAGATCGAGAAAAAGAAGAAAACGAAACGAAAATATCCTCTAGCCCAGTCCACTTGGAAATAGGGTGCATTTTATGATGAGACAGGTCCACGCTGACATTTGAAGTTTTGAAGAACTGAGCAGATCCTCAGAAATCAATTCGGTTTCTGTATGGACTAAAAGGGAGGAAAGACTTAAAGGCATGTTCCTAATGTGATTTTTTTTTTTCAAAGAATCTGGCTAGAATCAAACCAGGATCTATTTTTGCTTTTTAAATCATAAATAGTAGACATTTGAAGAATGAAATAAAGTTTTGTTTTTCCATTAAAAGACATTCCAGGGGGCAACTGTATGTCTATGCAGTTGGTATAGTCTAATGACTGGCATTTGAAAAATATATGTGACATTGTCATATGATGGTTTTGAATCACTGGCCAAAATTCCTTAAAGCTTACATATTACAAATCTGCCAACTTTTTTAATCATAGGTTTCACTCCTACATATAGTCTGTTCAGTTTTCCAGTTTAGTTGGAATTTAGTTTTTTATTGTTTCAGAAAGCAAATCTCTTTTGACATTACGTTGATTCTTCCTGTTCAGGCTTCCTCTCATCTTTGTATCAGAACACAGAATTACTTCTCTTTTAAAAAGAACCACCCGAGCAGGACAGATTCTGAAATATGAAAATGCCAAGTGCTGGCTGATGTCTGGCCCTTGGGCTTGAACGAAGCAGCCTTTCGCGGCGTCGGCAACTGGCCTTCCTGGAAGCGCCGCTGTAAGGGCCAGCGTTCCGCCCATCCCTCTCGGGAGGTGACCTGTGCGAGTCATGATGGGTGCACGCTGGGGCTCCTTTTTCCTTTTCACCCATTGACTGGGCATTGACAAGATCCTCAGTGGAAACCAATCCTCCCGCCCGATGTCTGATCCCCGGGACTCCTGAAACACCACACACACAAGCCAGCTCACTTGAACACCGTGTGGCCTGGGGGCTGGGCTCGGAGTTCCACAGCAGGTAGAACCTCCGAAGGAAGGCGAGGCCGGACGCAGCGAGTTTGTTTACAGTTTTCTCTCCCTCCCCAGGCAAGCAGGTCTTTTCCTGGTCTGGTTCCAGTCTCTGGGCTCAGCAGATCAAACAGCAGCTGGAGGTGCCCGTGTTTCTCAGCGTTGTGGTTCTCTGGGTCCCTGCTTCACAGGTCGGGCGATTTAGGTGTAATCTTTTAGGGTTTCCAAGCAAATTCTGTGTGTGAGGATACTTAAACCTGCCAAGAAAACCTGTTGAGATTTTTCACTACTTTGAGGCATACCTAAAGTGACTTCTACAAAATATATTTTGGCAAAAGCACCTGATGGCATACGTAGACTATTGGGTTGTCGGAAAAGTCTTGACGCATTTTTGCAACGAAAAACAGAAAAAAACACCTCATGACTTTTCCGACAGCCCAATATATTGGGATCAGATGTTTCCATCAACACTGGCAGCTCCTGCAGTAGCCGCCTCCCATCTCCAGCAGAAACCATTTCTAAGCGGTGTTTGTGGTTGGCTGTTAGCTGTGCTTCATGATTTTGCATTTCTATTGAAAGATGATTTGCATGTTGGCTATTACATTTCTGTTTCCTCTGTGTTTTCTTCTAATGACTGTACTCAGTTTTTTTTTCCCTCTTATAGGGTATTTCAGATTAAACACAGATCTTACAGCAATGTGTTAACTTAGTGATTGAAACTTACTTTGCCCCCGAAGATTTCTTAAACTTGTTTTGGAGGTCTCTCACAAGTACTTGTTTGAGCTGTGGTTGGAGAGGGACAGGAAGCGCCCTGGGCCCTGGCAGTCCTGGGGTCAGTGAGGGGGTCCGCGGGCCATGACTGTGGTTTGGTCAGATGGTACGTTTGCAAAATCATGAGATGCGTTTCAGCTTTAGCTCTCAGTGCCCATTAATTAGTAGATAGTCTTTCAGTGCTGCTGTGAACTTGCCCGAGATTTCCTGAGAACCTCTTAAAAGAGCCCTCAGAAGTGGAAAGATGACTAACAGGGGTCCCGCATTCGAGTTCGGGGTGGACTCCCAGCACGCTACCTGGTCTGGAACTAGAGTTCAAGTTGACGGTGAGCACGTTTCTACATTTTTGGGCTGACTCTAAGCCTGCCGTCATCAGCTTCCTCATAGATGGAAGCAGCCTCGGTCACACCTCCCGCAACGGGCTTTTTCCTTTCCACGGTCAAATGAAGTCTACCGCACGAGGTGAGGAGTAGAAGGCCTGAGACACTAGACAGTTACAGAATAGGAATGAGTGATAGAGAAAAAGGGGTCTGAGAGGAACATACACGAATCTAGAAAGTCAGGGACATCAATCAAAGGACACTTCTTGGAAACTGATTGCTTTAAACATCTGAGCCAGAATTTTCTGGACTGGCGTCACCAAGGGCAGATTGGAGGAGACGGTAGTTACAAAGGAGGCAGTTCAGTAGGTTGAAAGGACGACTCCCTTGCCATCCAGATCAAACTCCCTCCTAGTTAAATAACTAGGAGGTCCTTTTAAAAAAACAGTCACCTGAAAAATACCTGGCATCTGGGGAGAAGGCCTCCCTGGAAGCTCCCTGTACCACCACATTCCTCGCGCGCCTACTCTCGAGGGCTCCTGTTTGTTTCAGCTCCTTCAACTCTGACCTAGATGAACTTGAGGAACTGCTGTCATGCCCGAGCTTAGAAGAAAATGTTGACCGGAAAGGAAAACCTTTGGGAATTTTATCTGGGGAGAAGGGAGAATGTAAAATGGCTGAATCCCTAGGATCACACAGTTCACTGTATATATACATGTCCAATGTGTAATCATGCTGTGCTTTGTGCTTGATTGTGAAAATGACAGAACAGCTGGACAATTCGTATGAGGAAGGGAAAATATTTGGGGGATGATGTCTTTTGCTTACAGCTTCATACTGAATTCCCTCCTGACGTGGCCCCTCTATCAGCCAACAGGTTGAACAAGACATTTCTTCCTGACATGTGGGTTAAGGGACTTTCATCTTGGAATCTGACTTTAATAAAACAATTCGATTGCTCAGTTTGAAATAACCATGGTTGTTAGTGAACTTGAATGGTTATATTTTGAATAAACAGTTTTGTTCAAAAGACTAGCCAATTCGACACCAGTGACGCCGAATCCTTTAATGGGCACGTACGTACCTTCAAGCAGCTCACAGAAAGGGCCCGTGTGCACCTGGCCCCCTCCCCAGCTGTGTACACAGCTGTGTACAGCTGTGGGCCTTCTCAACCATAAAGTAGAATCACCACCTACCTTCCCAGATGTAGAGGTTGAAGTGAGATGTGTCCAACGGCTGGCATAGTTCCTGGCAACTCTGATAATCACTGCCATCCCCCCACCTCGAAATGTGCAGAAAGGTTATTTCATAGGTTATCTTTAAACAAAGGTCCTAAGGGAGCACAGATGTAGCCCAGTGGTTCTCAAGTTTGAACGTGTATCAGTCACTTGTTAAGCCCAGAAAATATTCTGGAATTAGTGGTGATAGTTGCACAACTCTGTGAATTACCAAAAATGACTGACCTGTACACTTTAAAAGGGTGAATTTTGTAGTATGTGAATTATACCTCAATAGAAAACAGCCACAACACGCCGGGTCCCAACCTGTGGTGGTCGTGACTCAGCAGGTCTGGGGTGGGGCCCATGTGCCTTTCTGACAAGTCCCTCAGTGCTGTTGTGGCCGCATCCCCAGGCCCACCCACACCTAAGAACCCCTGTTCTAGCCCAGCCGCTCAGCTGAGTACCTCAAATAGGACTGGTGTGTTCTGGACAATCTTTCTCCTTAGCTAGTACCCTCTTAATGTCACTAAGTTTCCAGTAGATGGGATCAGTTCAGGAAAAATACTCTGATGGATGAGTTAGCCTTTGCCATGTTTTCATTACCAGAAATAATACCTCTTATAAGCCAGCTCAGTACTGAATAACTCGGGAAACTTTAAAACGTGGACCTGACTCCAAGTACTATAGTTATTTTACAATTTAATATATTAATGCCTTAATTGTGATTTTCTGAATCACTGAAAATTTCAAGTTACATAGATAGACTCAATATATTTTTTTCTTGATCATTTTGATCCTTGGTTTTAAAATGTCCTTAAGAGGGCTCAGATTTTTGACTGAGACGGATCTGGATACAGATTCCAAGTCCGTTTACTCATCCATAACAAACTTAACCTGCCTAAACTCTCTTCTTTGGAAAACCCACTGCTGCGGCGCGTGGGGTGGGGGGGGCCCTGTCTGCTGTGAGGACTAAGCCAGACGATCCATGGGGTGCGCCTCGCATGCTTCGCACAGGAGCCAGGGAGGGACCTAGTACTCTCACTTGCAAACACTCGAATCCAACAGACTCCTGAACATCCGGCTTGGAGGTGGCCTCACTCTGCGCACGTGGGGTCTGGTGGTAAATGGGTGTCCCCCTCACCTCCGGCAGAGGTGGTTTCTGGGCACTGCTTCTGCGGGGTTCTTCCCCCTCTGGTCAGCTTGACTTGTTAACGCCAGGTGCATCACAGAGGAACAGGAAAGCGTCAGACGCTGATTTTGTTTACTTTCCATTTATTCACATTTTATGGATTGTTACACTTCCTCAATGGGATCATTCAAAAACGAATACAAACTGAGATTACATTGTCTGACAATTCAAGTATTTAAGTTTTAAAAAACAATTTCCTATTTAAAATAGAAAGCAAACAATGTATCCACTTGATTGCTAAAAAGTTTTACATCTCCGCTGCATCCAATGGGGTCGTCAGTCCTTATCATGAGCGCACCTGGCCAAGTTCACAAGCGCAAGCAGGGAACACCAGGGCAGACCAGTTTCACGGGCTCCCGTCACCTGCCACCGTTCCCGTGAAGCCTCACTTCTAGAACGAGGATGGGTACTCGGGAGTGGGAGCGAGCCATTTATTACCAAGGCCTCCAAGTGCACTGTGCTTACTTACATGAGACTGTTTGGAGCTGTAACAACTGAAAAATGCTCACAAACAACTCATTTACCTTGAAAACTAAACCAAAACGGTGTTCTCAGTGAAAGCTTTTCTGAGCTCTGATATTAGGTAAGTATTTTTGGCATGCGGCATATCAAAAACATGAGTTAGAATTGAAATGCTCAAACAATCATCCTTTTAAAGAAAATCAGTCCATAAGCAGTCAGCCTTGGCCTTCCATGGGAAACACAACCTAAACTTTAAAAACGACACATTTCCAGTCTGTAACTCTAATAACGAAGACGGCGCAACAGTCGTTGTCTGCCTGCTGGGGATGCTCACAAGCAAGGGCTGACCCGCCAGTTTGAAAACAGGCCGCTGGGACGCTCAGTATTTGCCAAGATGCAGCACTGCCTGATTCAGAATGAAGCTATACACACCTTACATGACAGGCGTGTACAGGGTACACTAGAGATTTGTAAACCCAAAATGAAAAGTTCAGTCCACATGACACAGTTTAAAGCCTAATTTCTAATAATTTGTTAAAAATAAACCCATGGGCAAGGGTTTAGCTATTAATAATACACGGGAAGAAAAGGTAAGCCCTCCAGGGGCCAAGGCCCCCCCACCCCCCCGCAAGTAACATACAAGGATTGAGAGTTTACAGTAAAACCCACATATACTTAGGCTCTTTTATACTAATACATAATTGGAGACCAACAAGTTCCTAAAGGTAAGAATGATTTTACGAAAATAATCACATTTTGAGTTATGGTATATACACATCACGTTTTTCCCTGTAATTTTCACTTTAACAGTGACAGTTTTAGCAGCAAGGATTTGCTGGGAATGTTAGGAAAACAGAAAGCCACACATACCCACTAATTTAAAGATGTAAACCGCTTTTACAGGGGTGTTAAAGGTAATCGGATCACGATCTTTCTGTGCCCCTTTCCCTGAACGTCCCACTGTACATGTGAAGGCCAATGAAGAACGAGAAGCCACCGACACGGATGTGTCCCCAGAGAGGCCTGAGATTTCTATTCCCGCCGCGACCGTGGGAGCTCGTGGCTAAGCTGTCACATTGCAATTTGATCCCCTGTATTTCCTCATCCTCACAGCTGGATAACCCTAACGTGGACAGGGCAGGGCTGCATTATTGTACCCGAATTGATCACTTGATTATAAACCATCTGTAACCGAAGTGCATGAATAATCTCGATTCTAAACAGATGTAAAAGTAACTGCCACCTCTCCCTAGGTCTCCCAACAAGCCGAGTTTGACCACGCCCCTTAATAGTGCGAGCACAGCTCTCTGCCTGTACTTATCTGAAGTCACACTAGGCCCAATTCTCCCACTGGAAGCAAAAAAGAGCAGTATGAGAATCTCATGATAAACACTGATTTCAGGTAATTAACAGTTAACATACTTGATCATGAGTCTGCTCACCCCCTTGACATCTAAAAATTGTTTTTTTTTAAATAGCAACTACACTATCCACAATTATTTTGAAGCCTCTCCTCTAAGTCAGAAGCCATTCCGTACTGGAGATTGGGACATCCAACTGGGAGCCCTCAGGCACTGACTTTGAGCCTTTACACAAGGTCATCTGGTACCAGCAGGAAGTGACTCATGAAGGATGAAAAATGGACGTTACACATTAAAATCTCCATCTAAGCATGTGCCTAATCTTCAAACATGCTGGTGTTGGGTACCTCACAGCTGTGGGGAACTGACACAGATATTCTCCTGCAAACCATGGCTCCCTTCCAAATGAACATACCGAATAATCTCTTTAAAAAGTAAATGGAAATTTCAGATCACAACCGAATTTCCTGCTGCCTACGTACAAGACAACACGTGCACATAGTTTCTCCTCCACTACCTGAGTGCGTGCTTCCTGGCTCACACACATGGCTCAGGGGTGACCACAGCCCATTATTAAGCAGTAAGGTTTTAGATCCGTAGCGCTCGCCACAGCACAGATAAAGCATATTCGCTCCTTTTCTGGTGTGGTTTAACTCGGACTTAACTTTCTTGTTCATGGGGTTTACTGTCCACGGTTTACAAACTGTAAAATACCAAATTTGTGCTTTTAAACCTCATTCCTGGCAATCCCCCTCTGTCCCATGTCATGAGGGGGACAGTGAAGTGACAGCACCTCCTGAATAAAACTACAAGACCAAAGAACAAGCTACTTGTTTCCTTTTAAATGAAAAAGCAGTCCCCGAATCACAGTACAGCAGCTACGGGGCGCGATGCCACCGTCTGCGGAAGGCAAGGGCTCGGATGCCGAAGGTGAAGTTGGTACTCACAGCGCAGCTGCAGGTCACACTAGATAAAAGCGAGCAGGGGGGGGGAGCATCTGGCACAGCGTGGCAGCAGCGTGGCTCACTCGGGAAGAGCGCTGTCCTCAGGTCAGCCGAGCCCACCGGCGAGACGACCGCCTCTGGCGCGTTTCCTCGGACCGGCACCGGCGGGAAGCCTCGCCAAACACCCAGGATGGGAAGAGCCTTTGGGAAATCTAATCGCTACCCTGATTTCAGTCCGTTAAGAAATCACTTGTGGTCAGGTTAATAAATGGATATTAAAAATCTTTCCAAAAATTTCTTTCAAATGTATTTTACACATTAGACAGTTCTCAGGAAGGGAGAGAATAGTTTCTTGACACTTAACATTAAAGGTTTTATTGGCCATATTTATCTTCCTTGCAAAAGTTTGAAGTTATCTAAAAGTTCTTAGAGCGTCCAAGTGAGAAGAGAACTAAGTTGAAGGTGGGAAGCAGCAGCTTGGCAACGATCCGCTGTCGAAGCGAGCTCAGGCGTCCTTCTTCTCCAGGATAAGTTTGTGCAGTTCGTCTGCGTCCTCGCTTGTTTTCACCCGAATGAGCATGGTGACCGGGACGGAGGCGTTCTTCTCATCCACGGGGGGGTTTGGGACGCACACAATGAGCACGTTGTTTTTTCCTGTGCGGCTACACGGCATGTTGGGTGTGATCAGAACGTTCAGCAATATGTTGCCTGCGTTTAAAGAAACAAAAAACACATCAGTCATCCAAACTACAGTTTCCCGAGAGTACGACTGTCGTGTGTGTGCTCAGCCTTCCATACTGAAGCAACTGACACCCATGGATCAAAACCGGAGGCACAGCAATGTCACAAAAATGGGCACTGGCTCCCCAACAGATGCCAGCACGATGTCCCGGAGGACTGGGGCTCAGCCTTCCCGCGGGGGAACCGCCTTCCACCCTCCCTCCTGCCTGAGTCTTCCACAGCCACACCAGCACCCCTCACGGCCAGCGGCCTCCTTCACGATGGTCACCCCTGCTGACCACTGTCCATTCTTGCTCTACAGGCAGAGCACGATGGCACGAACCGGAGTCTTCACTAAGTCATTCCAACAAAGGAAGCGCGGTCAGCAAAGACACATCTGTCCCCGAGGCCGGCACGGCTCCCTGGGGCAGAGTGGGGTTACTGTGCTGTTACCACAAATCAGTCAAGGGCCCAGAAGAGAAACCTCCACACAGTTTCCTTCCGCAAGCCAGCCTGGTGTGGCCACCACCACTTCCTCTCAGATGTGCCCACCCGCCTCCACCAACTCCCTCCTCCTTTCAGTGGATTATTTTAAGGTAAAGCTGGGGGCTGATGGTTGTTAATGATTATTTGCTACACAAAAAAACGATGCCTTTAAATGGTTAATTCCCCTTGTGTGGTTAATTATTAAACCATCCAATTTATCTATAGCTTCTCAGCCATATTTCTAACACAAAGGAACATGAAAACTATTCTGGTTACTTCTTGGCTATAGCTTTTAACAATCTACATTTGCTTACATACAGCACTCAATTAAATCTACAAATAATCGCTAAGTATAGGATGAATTTGACCTAAATGATCTCTTCTGTACCAAAAACCACATCAATGTACTTGAAAGTCTCAAAGGCTGAAATTAGCAGGGTGAAGGGCTCGTTATGCTTTGTAGGCCAAGTGACTGGGATTATTTTGTGCCACCTGAAAAAAAAAGTACCCACCTAAATTGGTGTCTGCCCGCACCAGAAGTTGTGTCTTCTGATTCGCTGTGGGTTTTAAATGCAGAGTACCTACACCCTTCTCTTTAAATTCGTTGTCTTTCTTGTAAAATAGTTTACACCTATAGAGAAAAATAGTAAGTACCTGATGACAAATCAAATCACAGTCTTCTAACAACACTGTTCATACCTGTGCGGAAATGTCTGGATGAAATGAGAACAGAGGACGCATCAGGATAAACTGTCTATTGACCACACTGGGTCTGGGCACAAACCAGAGTAAGAAAATCTGGGTAGATATTCTAGAACCTGTACCCCCATTGCTTCAAATCACTGGACAGTGGGCCCGGCCTAACTTTTAAAATAATACCAGAAGCCTTCCCAGCCTCCCGTGTCACACATCTCCTTAGGTTATTAATAAGCAAACCCAAACCACTGCCTGCTCCTTTGATTTATTCTGATTAGAAACAAATATTAAGTCAGGGCCACTCCTTATGTTGTCTGTGTAATTACATTTTAAAAATAGGCACAGGAACTGCTGGCCTCTTAAAAGTTCTCAAAAGTAACTAATGTTTGGAAATCCCATAGGATACAGGGATTTGTGTTATGAAAACTGTTGACTCATTAGTCTGAAATTTTTTTATTAGGAAAACACATTTAAGGATGGTTCTAAAATGGCAAAAATGTTTTTCAGTAAATATCTGTTTAAAAAAAAAGTACTAACTTCATTTTGTTGAAATGAGATAATTCAAAATTTCCCTTCTGCTTTCTTCTAAAAGCAGCAGCTCTCATTTAAAACCAAAAGTAAAAGAGCTCTCATCACTGGGGGAAAGACAAAGCATTTACACCCTAATGGAGAGGGATGGTGGCTACGGAGACATGTGGCTGTGAGAAAATCCATGAAGGCCACCAGGTCTCCAGGGAGGGGTCAGGGACGCCCCTGATTAAGGGCAGAAGTCAGACCAAGCCTGAAATGAGTGCAGAGGGGACTTCGTTGGGGGGAAGGAAGGAGAAAAAGGGAGAGAAGGAAGAGGTAAGACAGGGCGGGAAGATAAAGTGCTCTCTAAAGCACTTCCTAGAATTTTTTTTTTTCTTTTTTTAAATAAACAGGCCAAGAATTCTTTCTCGTTCCAGTTCAAAGAGCAGGCCTGGCCTGGCCCCAGGATGGGGTGGTGCTCAGTCAATTCCGCACTCTGCAGCCAGAAGCCTACCTCCGCGTCTCTGAAAACCCATTCAGGACTCTTACTTACTTTTTGGAGTAAAAAGCATCTTCCTCTTTGACCTCAGTAACTACCACTTTGGGCGGCTCATCACTTTCTTCTTCTTCTCCACCTTTTATAAAAGCAACACTAACTCAGTAAGATTCAAATCAAGAGCTTGAAAATGTGAAAAGTTTGTTATGTACCCCCTACCCCCACCTAAAAACTCCACATGCGGATATAGAACAGAAAGTGTATATCGAAGTGTGTGTGTGTGTGTGTGTGTGGGGAGTGTGGGGGTGTGTGAGGGGGGTACACCTACTCAATTTTAGTTACTTTGTGAAAAATAAGAACAATTTTTAATGAGAACATACTTCTCTCTTCTAAAACAGATGTTAATTTGTAGAAAGCCTTGGAAAGAAAAAAATGTCCTTGGCTTAAGAGTCTGTGTACACGCAAACTTTTACAGAAAAAAAAAATCAGTCAACATGCAACAGAGTGACATGCCGGTCCTCTGACTCCATCTTGGCCAAGGCTGCTTTGTTCCCAGGGCCTTCGGGCTAATGGCTCCTTCTTGGTGTTGCCCGTAGACACACGGTCATTGCAGGAATTCCACTTGGGGCTTGAGTTTTACAAAACCAGCCCCTTGTCCCTCCCCAGGAGATGAGGGAAGGAGGTATTGTTTCCCAAAGATTTGCAGGAACCTCCCAGACGCACATCCACTCGGGTCAACAGACTAAGAGCACTCTTCCCGGACTCTGCGGGCTCCCACAAGTCTGCAGCTGTCAGTCACCTCTTACCCCTCCCGTTCCCCTTCCCTCCACAGAAAAGAAGCCTGGACTAACTTTCTTAAGATGGATTTGGGGATTAGGTCGCCCATCTTCTCAGTTGGCACCTTCTTGATCAATACACCTTTTCCTACTCTCAACTCGCACATTTTGAGTTTTGGCCTTTCCAGGCGTCGGGCACACATACTTCAACCTGGTAACACTCAGGTATACTCCGGTTACCACTGGAAAACCAGAATCTCATAGGCTTCTGATACCTTCATCCCCAAATGTTCCTGTGACCATACCTGCATCATGCCAAGGACGGCCACTATCACATCAGAAGGGGAAAATAAACAGAATGGTTTACAGGACAAGTCGTAGAGACATCACCCCAAAGCCACCCATGAGTCATTTAGGCTCTGTCTGAACTGCCAGGCTCCCCAGCTCTGGCTGCCCCGATGCAGCCAGAACCACAGAGCAGAGCTAAGACCCTGCAGTGGACGCAAATACCCATCCTCTTAAAGAGACAGGGAGGCGCACAAACGCCCTAAATTAAAAAGCAGCTCTGCGGGAAAACAATCCTGGTGATGGAACAATTCAAGTCACAAGATTTACATTTGAAGAAGGAACTCTATGGTCCTCAAACTGGTGTGCTGCAGAATCTCAGGAGATTTTTTTGTTTGTTTGTTTTTTAAATAAAGGTCTTGGGACTCCTGAATTAGGCTCTCCAGGGTGGGCCCAGGCATTTGGGACTGATTTTAACAAGCTCTCCGATCTTTCTGATGCACACAATGTGCCAAGCACCAGGTAAGCAGGAAGTGCTTTACTGAGGTGCACAGGCGGACACTCAGTTCACATTCCACAGCTGCAGCTTCCGGGTCCCTGCTGTGACTTCCCTAGGACAGGACAGACTCTTGTTTGTCCTATGATTAAAGGGAGGTCTTCATCCATGCTCTGCCCGGGAGGGCCCTGGCCTGAGGACGCCTGGGAAGCAGGGCAAGATGGGACAGTAATGGCAGTCTGGCTCCAGGTAGAAACACGTATTCAGTGGCAACCTGGCAACCTGGCAACTGCTGTTTTCTTTCTCAAGGATCGACATGTTAAGACCGCCCGAGAGAGAGGTACTTTCAATGCTGACAAGCATCTTCGCAGGCATCACTTGTTCGTAACCACCATGTGATGAAGAGGGATTATGACGTAACAACGGAGGGCGTGAGGGGCTGGGACTAAGGCCCAGGCGCTTTGCCTGCCTTGGGGCACTGACACTGCACACAGCAGAAATTTCTGGAAAGGGGGCAGCAATCCAGACATGTCTTGGGAAGACACTGTTCCTCATGGCTCTGGAAAGTCTACCTCTTGTTATGTATAGTAGTGCTTTGCCATGTGACTTAATTCATAACCAAATCTCTGAAATACAAACAATTCAGTGGATATTCATGATCAACTTTTCAATAAAACAATTTTGCAAAACATGTGAATTCACTTAATTCTTTTTTATATGCAAGGCCATGTGTTTCAAAGTCACCGTGTCAGATGATTTCAGTCTTAAATTTTATTTCTATATTCTCAATCCTTATAATAACCCTATAAAACAGGCCTTACTCCAGTTTATGAATAAGGATACTGAGACTCAAAGATTCATCAACTTTGTCCAGGATCACACGTCTCGGAAATGATGGGGTCCCGACGTGCCTCCAGACCCGCCTGAAGCACACGCCTGTACTTCCCCACTACACACAAAGCTCACCCATATCCGCAACAGACCACGAGGTCACCTGTATATTTACCTTTGCAGTCATTGCTGCCGCCACCTGCTTGGCTCTCCAACGGTTTAGTGGAAAATGGTGAAGAAGCCGGTTTGCTCTGAGGACCATCTTTGCCAAATAAACTGGAGTTTCCCGCAGTAAACGAAAACCCAGTCACGGGGCCAGAGTTCAAGGAGCCCAAAACAGAACTATCGATTTTCTTGCCGAAGTTGAACGAGGCACTTGTTGCTCCGAGGGGGGCGTCGACTTTCTTGTCAGGTCCAGCCTCCATCTTTTCCGACGTCCCCTCGGGTCTGTTACTGTGAAACAGAAACGTTGACTCTTGCTGTACCTTCGCTGAAGCAAACAGGGAGGGAGGCTGGGCTGCAGCTGGTGCTTTGCTGGGCTCGCTCTCGGGGCCGCTGGCACCCACACCGCCTTCCTCCTCAATACCTGCCAAGTACTTCTCGTAGTCTTTAAAGACAGGTGTCAGGTCGCAGAGCGGGTTGGCATTCACGTGCTTCGCTATCCAGTCCCGGACGGAGCAGTTCAAGGCTGCCAGCTGCTTGTGGTAGGCGTTCCGGTGGGGGGCTGCCCTGGAGGTCAGGCCAGAGGAGCAGGGCTGCGGGCTGTCCCCGTTAGTTTTGGGGTTTGCACTCTTTTTATCGACCAAAGAAGTAGGGCCATTGGCAGCAATGGATGCTACAGGAAATTCAAGTTTTAAGATCTATTTAGAAGTGGATTTGGCTAAACCATCTGGATTTTTATACCACTCTTCGTATTTTCTGCTCTTAGTGAATCCCATCTTTGTGACAGCTCAAGAAGTATGTGCACATCTAATGTTTAGGAACTGGTTATCACAAAAATCAAATCAAACTTTCAACAAAAACTGTACCTATTCTACGCTTGCACTAAGAATTTTAAAATAATCTTTTCCTTCAAAAGGATGCCCATTTCACCCGGAACTGTCAAAATATTAATATAAAACTTAATCTCCAAAATTGTAGGAGTGAATATGTATTAATGTAGTTCAAATGTTAATAGGGAGTGCTTATTTTAATCACACTAAACATTCGGCCCCATTAAAATGAAACAGTATCCACTTTTAAAATAACTAGCTAAGTACCATCAGACCAGTCAGGGTCATTTCTAAGAACCCAAGACTTTAACCTATGATCCCATGCTCCGTCGCCAATACCAAAAGTTCCTGACTATTCCCTCAGAACAAGATCAGGTAGTCAACAGATCCCGGACAAAATAAATCCAGATGGGTAAACCCCTGGTTTCTGGAAGGTGGGTGCCGTACCGGAAGTCCTTGGTACACATATTAAGTAACCAGGATGGGAAAGCAAGCCTTTCCAGAGGGTCCATTAAAAGCTTCCTCGCATCCTTTGACCCTTAGGCCCATTCTGAGGGTCATTCTCATTTCCTAGTTGAAGGTTTGGAGGCTCAGAGGTGAAGGAACTCTATTAAGGTCACAGAGCTGGTAACTGGCAGAGCTGAGAACAGAACCTAGATCTATTTTGGCTCAAAAGCTAATGCTCTCCTCACTCTGTAAATAGCCAACATCTTCTTAATTTCCATTCCTATCATTATTATATTAGTTCATAGTCCCAGGAACTAGGGTAAGTACAAGAGAAACATCTTTGCAAAGTTATTTTTCATACATAGACATGACTGGAGGGAGGGGACCCTACTTACCAAAGGTGGCCTTGGTCTCGGTCGCGGCCCCTGCACTGGAGAAGGCAGGGGCACTGGTTATGCTGTTTCCATTCGACAGTCCTTCCAAAGGCCTCGGTCCAGCACTGACACCGGCGCCAAATCCAGAAAATGCCCCTCCTCCAGACGGTGCAACCAAACCTTTAAAGCCCTTAAAGGCGCCTCCAGTAGCGTCAGACTAAAACATAAAGGAGGAGCGCACATTAGCTAAGTGTGCTTTTTAGCACTAAGTAAGCAAGTGAGGGACAATATTATCCTGGCTAAATAGCACGAAGAATCCTTATGCCACCAGCACTGAAGGAAAACTGCCAGCACAAGCAGAAACAGGAAATGAGACGGGTTTATTCACGACAGCGCTGCAAAGCACAGCTGCCTTCCTGAAACAGCCAAGAAGGATAGCCCTAACTTACAGTGAAATAGTGGGTTGTCGGGATAAGTCATGACGTATTTTTCGATGTTTCTTCTTGCAAAAATGCGTCATGACTTTTCCGACAACCCAATATATTTTTATAAATACACTGAATAAATATTTTTAAAGATAGAAAAGGGAAAAAGACTAATACAATAAATTCACGTACCCACCACCCAACCTCAGAATTATAACTAAAAACACATTCTCAACACAACTAAACCCCAAATAAAATATTTTTCAGGTATTACTCAGTCCAAGGCAATTTGCCAAAGGAGATCGTAGAAACATCAAGTTAGGTTAAATGAAAGTATTTTACCCACTTACCTATAATTTCCTGAGACATTCTGTAGCTTTCAATCTGCTTTCAGCCTATAGGAACTTTGGAAGCTGACTTAGTCTCAATTTAGATTTCCCGTTAGTTGAGAAATCCAGGGGCAACATTTTATTCTCACTTTTCTGGCTGCTTTCTTTAGCAAGGTCTTTCTAGCAGACCGTTCCCGCAGTTGCCAGCTTTCTCATCTCTAACCCAAGATGCTCTGGAAATATTTGCCATGCCTTAGGAAATTCCTAAGCTGTCCTCTGTCCCTGGGAACTCCTTGAGTTTACAGTGCTTTGCTAAAGTCATGGCAATTTCTATAAGATCTTTTTTTCATTCAAAGTAGTGGTTATACCACAGGTGGATCTGCTTCTCAGACCTACGATCCGATCCGAGGGAGGCTCTAGGAAGTGTTCTCAACAATACATCACAGAAAACACACCTCAGAACAACCAAGAGAGTGCACAAACCTTAAGTCCCCACGGAAGTGAATGAGAATCATGATCTCACACAAAGATTACTTAAGCTGAAAACTCTTCATTCTAAATGGGTCAGTTAACCTGAAATTACTGCAGTTTTCAAAGACACAAAAGTTTCAATCACATCTACAGAGTTTCAGATGGTTACTGACCACAGATAAACTTACGGCAACAAAATCAGGCAAATGCAAAATCTTAACTCGCATGAGTTTTAATGCATGTAATAAATAAATACAGCTTAGGTTCTGATGCTCTAGGATTGATTTCTGATAATTCAAAATCCAAAACACACCAGACTGATAGTTTTTATAACATGATTCATGGACAAACAGCAAAGCTGAACGTGGCTCTTCAGAGCCTTTTATTTTGCACAAGATTTAAAAGCCACATGGTATTTATTGCTATTTTGGGAATTACTGAGAGTAAATCGATTCTAGGATCATCACATTGGCTCTAAAATCATGACAAAAATTCAACAATCACCGGTTTAAAAAAAAAAAAAAGGAATGTGAGACATTCAGAAAAATAAGTTACTAATACAAGTTGAATGAGAACATATCCATTTGGGCTCCACAGAAACGGAAACATCCCTGTGTCCTCCAGTGTCCCTCATTTGCTTTATTTTTCTCCATGGCACTTACGAGAAAAATAAATACTACATATGTGTGTGTCTCCCATCATTAGGATGTCAGTCCCACGAGGCAGGGGTGTGCTGGTCTGTTTTTACCCACCAAGGTGTCCCCAGTGCCTCGCAGATCTGCTGAATGAATGAACAAATCCACTAAAAACGCATCCTCAACTGAACTTTGGAAAAAGCGACATTTCAGCATTTAAGTGGATGATACAACATTTCTCTAACATACAAGTTCTGATGGAAACTTGATGCTAAAAGTTATAGCTAAAATTATATGTCGATTTCAAATATCCACGCACATTTCATTTCCTTTAACAGCCTGAGGACTCCCCTGCCCCCTTCCTTTGGGCCAAGTCTGGATTGTCTCTACTTCTTCACCTCCATTCCCCCAACAGCTGGACCGTCCCTCCTGGAGGCCGTCCCCTCGACTTAGCTTCCTCTTCACAGCTGCCACTCACGCCTCTGCTCCCCCACCCCGGCTGCAACTTCCTGCATGGCTGGGCTCTTGTCTGTGAGAACTCTCCAGCTGCACTCCCCTCTCCCCCGCCACTCCTGCTGAGCAGCCAACCTGAATACTCAGTGGTCTTGACAGAACTCCACATCACAGGCCCTTAGTACTTTCCAAAACCAAACCAATCATTTCCTCCCTGATTAAGCTGTGTCGTGTCCCCGTCCCCCCCCCCCCCCATCTTCTCCATGAAAGAGGCATCAAACATCACCTCACTCAACACCTATGTCCAACTAATCACCAGTCTTAAGGATGAAATTAGACCAGAGAAGAACTGGGATTTAAACAAATTGAGCAGAGCCACCGCAGGGCGTGCGGTAGCTTATTCCCAAGCTGCCACCCAGGCTGCTCAAACCGGCTTCTCCTGCCTGACGACAGAGTCCAGGTCACCAAGACAGCACTCCTGTCTAGGATGTACTTGAGGGTCGAGGACAGGACTGGGGAAAGGTTGTTAAGTGTGGTTGACCGCTGAATTCTGACCACACTTCTGACTTCGCTTTACGAGTTACAACTCACCTTTCATCCTTCTGAGCCCCAGAATGAAGCATTTGAACATATGAACTATTGACATGAGAAATGCTTCTGTTACAGGTGAAGGCCTTCTCCCACCCCGGTCCTGGTGAGTGGACTAGACTGAGGATTTCTTAGTTTCCTTTCTTACTCCTACCTGCCACGCACTTCTCTTCCCTTTGTGTTGCTACCCTCCTTCTTCCTCTTCATACTGTCACTCTCATTTGTTTCTCTCTTATTCCCACAACTGGGTAAGCTCCCTGGGCAAGGCAGACATTTCCTATGTATTCTTTTTTTCTTTTTCCCTCCCCTGGTCTACACCAAGGATTTTCACAGGCAGAGAAAGCACTTTAATAAGCATTCATTGATCTGACGGCTCCCAGAAGAAGAAATGCTCGCAACTCAGAAATCAAATTAGTGTTTATACCAGAAGCTGTACGAAAACACTCACTTCAAATCCAACATTTCTACGCTTTGCTTTCTTTATGGCTCTATTCTTCAAGACTTCCTCACTGGCCACTGAGAATGTTCCCACCTGCAGAGGCATACAAATTAAACAGCAGTAAGATAAGGCCACAAAGGAGACAAAATGCTGAAGGCAAAAGCTAGACCAGGCAAAGTTATCTAAAACCTGCTGGTTTTGAAATACTGCTAATACTCGGAATACAATTATAGAGCGGGCACATTAAAATAGTTTATGTCCATTGCCTATCTTGAGAAACCCAATGCTGCTCAGGCGAATCATGAATCTTCTAGAACCCACGCATCCACGATCTGAACTGTGATCCAGAGGGAAGAGCCATGCACAGTGTTCTGACAAGACTAAAATCGTCAAAACTTTGGTGCAAATCTACTCAGCACAAAGTCTTCAAATATATTCAGAGATGTTAATAAAACTTAGACTAAAACTTCGGTTTTCTTTAAGAAGCAAATCTATTCTCCAAAAGCTAGAAGGTGCCTTAAAGATCATGAATACTTGAAAGTGGAGCCAGCTCTGAAACCAAGATGCCCAAAGCTAGTGAGTGTCTTACCACTATCGTTTTCAAAAATAAAATGTATGTATAAACCGCCCCCACACACAATGTTTACGAAGCGCCCTGCCCGTCTGCCCATCATCCACATGACCACAGAGGCACTCGGGACGCTAAGTGATGCCGGAAAGTGGCGGCCCCGCTACACATGCTAAATGACCACGTCCACAGCCGGGAATCTGCTAAAGGCCTCTGGCTTTGCTCCAACCTTCTTCACCCTGTAGGACTGGCATAGACTATTTCCTGTAGAAAGTTCTCACCTATAGTTATTTCAGAAAATGTTCAACTTAGAGATCTCCACACCCACAGAAGGGACCGCTTAGTTACAGTGCCCAAATGAAATGCAATTTCCCTCCACACGCATTCATTCGACTCTCTCCAAACGGGAGTTCTTTCATTCTTGAGATATTTTCAAGTCAAAGCAAATCACTGTGTGGTCAATCTAAATCTTACTAGGCCAGAATGTGCATTAAGACCTGGAAAGACTTGGTTACAAAGCACTGAGTTACTCAGAGATGTTCGAAGCTGTCAAAATACTAACATGCTTGTGATTTTGATTTCCCTGAACATTTTAGTGCATGTATTTGTAAAGGAAAAATATTAGTCCTAGGAAACAGCTCAGAAAGAAGGAAAACAGCAGCACAGAATAAGCTTGGAAACACTTTTGCAGATTATTTTATTTTTTATTTGACACTATTCTAGTAACCTGAAAGGCTAACTTGGTTATAGATTTCCTTAGTGAACAGGCAGGAGTTCCAAACTGCTGACGAGGCAACAGAAACGCAGCTGTGTTCTACTCTTTGTAAGAGAAAAATTTAAAGATTTCCTCAGGGAAGACCATTTCTACTTTGTTATGAAAGAAACTAGGCCAATCTAAATTCTATTCCTGTTAATACCATTGTTTGGTGGAGGGGGGGTAGCGGGGTATCTCAGATCTCTAAGGATATGAAATAAAGCTGGCCTGGGAAGCATTAGATTGAGGGAGACGACCTCAGTCTTCTGAAATCTAAAATTATGGGTGTGGCAGCCCGAGATGGTGTACCGCTTTTCAAGTCTGAGTGGCCCTGTGCTAACTTCATAACTAGATCATTTACTCACCCCTCAGTCTTGGCTAAAACCATGGATTTAGAATGCTGCAAATCCAGGAAATCCAGGAAGAAGGTGCTTCCACAAAGCAGCAAATATTCAGGGAATGGGCGCTGGCAGAAAGGCACACCCAAATGTCATTAATAAATTTCTATACTAAGTACAGGTCCTAAGAAGCCGTACCACTTTCCATTCAGGGTGGCCTTAAACAAAAAGGCCTTTTAATTTTATCACAAATCTTCACGAGAAACCCCAAAGTGAACGTAAATTTAGAAATGCCAGGAAATCACTCCCAGGGAAACTACTTTTTACCTCTTCTGCTTCATCTTCTTGATCCCAGTTCCTATCTGTCAATTCCTTCTCAGCAATTCTTTTGGCCATTTTTTCAAACCTAAAAGTAAAAAGGTTAGAAGTAAAAAGTTTGCTTTCTAGACCAAGACATCACTTACAAAGAATTTTTAAAGTTCACTGGAGCATGAAATGAGACAAAAACATTCGATACCAGTGGGAAGGGCTTTAACGAGAACTTTATGACTGTGCAGTTAGGCTCCTGTGTTTCGCATCCAACAGAGGAGCATGCGAGGAGGGAGGGTAGCTCTTCCAGGGAACGCTGACATTCTTTCTGAACAACACTAAAGCAACTTTATTCGGAAGAAGTTAATATGAAATCTCAATTGATTTGTTTAAAGTCTGAAATCTTCAGTACTGTTTATATAATCAAGTGCGTAACTAACTTATTCTATGCAAATTACTCTTAGTCTTACTACGGACAAAACATTTTTAATAACTAAAATTCTCTTAAAGATGATCCAGTACAGAAGTTCATTCTTAGGTAAGAATTTTCATAAGGCATTGGTAATACTTTCATAGATGAACACTCTTCTTTAGGCTCCAGACAGTTGACAGAAATACATTTTCCAAGACTGAACATTTAATGACCCCAGATTGTATACTGCTAAGGTAGCACATCATTTAAAAGTTGAAAATGTAATTAATATTGATACGTTAACATTCTGAGAATTTATAACCCTTCAAAAATAACCCATGAGCTCAAGTCCTCTACCACCACTGCATTACAAGGAAGAGGGGGGAGATGGGGGGGCTGACAGTATTATATCTGCAGTGAATAGAAGTACATACCCAAAGAGGGTGCTTGTATCAGTCCCTTAAAATTTGCAATTTGCTTTCTTATCCTAACATCATAGCCTTTGCTATAAGAAAATAAAAACAACCAATGGCGAGTGCCACTGTGAGTGCCGTGCCGGCTTCCTCCCTAACTGACCAGCTAAATGGATAAAACCCCTCTATTCCTCTGCCACCCACCTCGCCCAGGAATTTATCCATTAGTTCAGGGTTCCAGAGACCTGCCTAGGCTCCTTTCTGATACTTTCTCCGCCCTCATTTCCCCCAACACCACAACCCACCAGAGAAAGTTCCTGGAACTTCACAGTTATTAAGATACAAACTTACACTTCACCTACTACTTTTAGTATCTACAAAATAAAATTCAAATGCTGACTTTCAAAGTCCTCCAAAACCTAACCCCCTGTAATTACATAGAGGTTCTTCAGTTTTTTTGTTTTTTGTTATTTTTTAAGATTTTATTGAGGAATTGGGAAGGGGAACAGCGTTGGTGAATTGGGGAAGGGGAACATTGTGTTTTTCTAGGACCCATCAGCTCCAAGTCAAGTTGTTGTTCTTCGATCTTAGTTGTGGAGGGTGCAACTCAGCTCTGAGCCCAGTCGCCGCTTTCAATATAGTTGTGCAGGGGTTAGGGGGAGAGGCACAGCCCACCATCCCATGCAGGAGTTGAACCGGCAACCTTGTTAAGAGCACATGCTCTTACCAGCTCAGCGGCAGCTCAGCTCTGGAGCAGCTCACTGGCCCATGTGGGAATCAAACCGGCAACCCTGTTGCTCAGAGTTCACGCTCTAACCAACTGAGCCACTCGGCCGGCCCCAAGGTTCTTCAGTTTTTAATAATATCCTAAAAATCTTTGAACCCTCTTTTATAATATCGCCCCCCAAACACCTGGTCAAGTTTTGCTATTCATCTTTGTAAGCCAAACAAAAACAACGCACTTTTAGACATGAGTCCTTGCTGAACTTGACTGTTCAAAGGCCAGGTCTCTGATGCTTTCTTTTGGCCCTTTTCCTGTTCAGTAACTAACACTTCCACCAGAGGGCAGAAGAGGAGAGAGAAGTTGAAATAGCCATTTTTGCTATTAAAGTTAACCATTAACTGTTAATAACTTAAGTTATTAACTGACAAAAAGGGGTGGAGCTAAAAGGGCAAACCCTGTAATAAAGTAAAAATGTAACCTCTAGCTCATTCCCATAACTGAAGAGATAACTGGCATAGCAAAACACCCGAAATTAATGGAGCTGCTCCCAGATTCTACCATACTCATCAGGACCGTAACTAACCAGAGGGCAGGGAGCTTTGTTTCCTGTACTGATGTACTCCAAATGCCCAAAGCTGCCCCTCTCGGGGCAAGTTCTAGCTGTTGTTGACTTGGTGACCTGGGACACTACAGATTTGAGAAAATACTGTTTGGCATCCCAGTTTTCCCATTTTCTGGCTCGAGACCTTGGGCAAGTTAATTTTTGTGCCTCAGTTTCTTCATCTGTGGAACAGAGGTGTGAAAATTAAATGAGGTAAACAAAAATCTTAGGATAGTGCCTGGAACAGAAGCAGGACTTAATAAGTATTATTCAAGAAAGAAGTTTTGTTAGAAGCAGAGGCTATAAAATATTATTTTTTCTCCAAAACTTAAAAGTCGTAGTGTTGAAAAAGAGAATTTACTTGAATTATGAGTCAAGCTTTAAAATATATTTTAACAAATCCGTATTTTATTTCAAAGCATGACACTTCAGACAATAAATTTTCTTCTTATGCGAGAAGAGGAAAAAACATCCCTGTAAGTACTTGGAATAAGCCCTGGCACCTAGACAGTCTCATGTGCTAGCTATTATTATAAGGAATTTAAAAAACGTTTGGGCTTGTGGTTTAAAAGGCACTGAATTACGAAACGATTCCTTGTGAGAGCAAATTGAAACTTTTGGTAATTGGAGAAACTTTATTATTTGTGCCTGTTATCCAGAGCGTGCCAAAAAAACGTATACACATTTTAAGAAAGGAAAACTACATTAAGATTGTAATAGTCAATATACACCGAAAACAAACGATGAATACAAGTCACGTTTCACTTCTGCAATTACAAGAGGCGCTCAAAGTGGTTCCCATCAGCATCCAGACACTTCTGATTACCGCGAACTACTCTTGAGCCACGTTGACCCAAGTGTCCACTTGAATACGTTTTTTTTGGCACCCCGGGTAGTTCATGTGGTCCCTGCCACTTGGTGCAGCCCAGCTCCAGGGATTGAACTTCAGTCCACATTAGTTTACCATAAAATGAAAACAGATTTGACCGTACTTGATAGTGTAGTGACCCGAGAAAAAAGAGAACAAGGGGGCAGAACCTGGAGACTGAAAAGCCAAGGGAAAACGAAGAAACTGCCTCTTAAAAGAACAGAGTCATGGGGGTGATCAATGGCCCGGAGTTGCAGTAAGAAAATGAAGCCAGGCCAAAGCAGTGGAGGGAACGAGGAGAGGTGAGCCGGCCAAGGGGAAAGAAATACCGAGAGGAGCCGCTAGGAAGTCAACCTGAAGGCCACGGCTATTCGCTCCGGCCTCCGGCCTCCGCCGGGGCCGCAGGGGCCCTGCACCCGGGCGAGCCTTAGCCACGTCCACGACCCCGACAGGTCAGCCCCGAGCCCGGCTTCACAAACAGCCGCCGGCTGCGTGGCTGCTGTCATCCCGCCCCACCCTCCCGCGCTTCCCCAACCGTCCCCACGCACCCCGCAAGCGCCCCCTCCCCAGGCCTGGGTCCTCTTTTCTGGCTCTTCCTGCCCATGGCCCCTTTCCAGGCCGGGTCCCGTACCCTGATTCCGGCTTCCTCCTCCCCGGGCCCGGGCCCCACACCCGGCTCCTGCCCGGCCGCCCCGGCACCCGGGCTCCGGCGCTCAGCCCCTTCCCCTCCCATGTTGCCCACCCGCCTCTCACCTCCGGGGCAGCGGCCGCAGGACTCGCTCGGATGTGGGCGCGGCGAAGCGTGGATGCGCGTGGATCAGCAGGTGCGAGGTCGAGGCCGCGGCGCTCGGAGCTAAAGCGGCGGCTGGTCGCCGGCTGAGCGCGCCTGGTCGCTTCCGGTGCGGCGAGATTCTCGAAGGACTTGGTGATCAGCAAGCCCAGAGTCTCAAACACCATGTCCCTCGGGGGCCTGGTCTCTCTGTGTGCGACAGTGAGACGAATCGTCCGCTCAACCGGAGAACGCCGGTGGAACTGCACCGAACACACTCCGGGCCGCCATTTTGTAACTCTAACCTAACCCTCAAAACCAATTCGAAAAAAAGGGAGGAAAGAAATGCCCGCGTCCGGCTACTACGCAAGCGCATCGGAGCCTTAGTCAGCAGCACCACCTTCCGCGGGCAGTGGGTTGTCACGCGGCGCATGCGCCTCGCTACTTGGACACCGTCTCCGGGAGGAGCAACCCTGTCTCGCGCCTGCGCGCGCCGGCCTCAGCCGGGAAGCCGGCGCCCGCGGCCCGAGTTTACGCCCGTTGGTCACGTGTGGGCTGCCGTACGCGTTTGAGGCGTCCGCGCGCTAGTCGCTGCTGCTGGTTTAACGCGGCTGGGGTTTGCGAGGCGCTCGGGGGAGCACGGTCCGTCAGTGAGCGTGGCGGAGGCTCGTGGTGTTCCGTGCGGGGTGCTGCAGGGCAGAGAAGAGACAGGCCGAGGTCCGGAAAACGTGAGTGACATTGGAATAGCGTAACGTCGGGAGCTCGGCGCCGCCATCGCGTCCTCGAGAGCCCTGCTCTGATCGCCCGGGACATGCCTGGCTGCTGAGTGGTCAGGAAGGCCCGGGATTGGATGGCCTCGGTCGTCGAGGAGAAAAACGGACCCATTCGCCCTACAGCTTGTATGTGTTTTCCATGGTGGGCGCCTCAGAGGCGAAATAACTTGCTCGAAATTGCGCACCTAGTTAGGATCCACGAAGGTGAAGTCTGCAAACGCGTTTTTAAACTGTGGAACTACTGCATGTGTCCGGTGTCAGGATTTGTGTTGTGCTTCTATTTTGTATTTTATAGTGTAGCCTT